TGCCTACACACGCAGCCCAACAGCAAGAGAGAGCAAGCCTCCGCGCTTTTCCTTTATACATCTGCAAAGTCCTTTTAGTCTGAGAGTGGGCTGTATTTTTGGTTTTTTTCAGGGAGCCAGTATAAACCATGGGGGGAGCTCAGAGACCCTAACTTACCCCCCTCTGCAGCGGTCAAAGAGCCTCTCCCTGCAGCCCGCACAGGTCCGCAGGTCTCCCACCGCCCATCCCAGGCAGGGCAGGGGAATGCACCCTGCTGAGAAGGCAGCTCCCACAGACCCAACCTCTGCCCAGCACTGGGACTTGCTGGGATAACTACAACACAAGGCCTTCGCACGTAGACCCGGCCTTGACACTAACTCCCAGAACGAGAGCTCAAGGAAAGTGTCTCAACGCAAACAGCCTCCCACGGTTCGAATTTTAAGTAAAATTCTTTTTCTCTGCAACCACGCAATGCAACGAGTAAATAAAGATGAAATAGAGCTAGAGCATGGGATGTGCGTGTAGCACGCTAAGATGTGATGGATGGAACTTATGATCGTAAGATGGAATGCAAGACGAAACAGTAAGTGTGTAAACTTAAAGCTAGAACGCTCCTTCCAAGAACACCTCTTCCAAAACTGTTAATAGGTAGCCAGCCTCTTAGGGCAAGGTAGAGAAGATTTTCTTTCTAAGTGCAGAGACCAGGTATCAAAGAAGGTTTGGGGACATACACAATAGGGAAGGTCTACCTGCACACTGGTTCAGGGCAGAGGGACCACCATCTCAGCACAAATGCTTTACCTTAAATTCTCTTAATCTATAAAAGAACTGGGTATTATTCCATTTTCTTACGTATAAAGGAGGTAAAGGAAACATAACTATTACTAATGCAGAGTTACCTTACTAATCACAATAGGTAACAAAGAAATATATTACTTAGTTTGCACGGAAAGCCCCAGCTCATTTCTTCATTCTCTGATCATCTCAGGTTTCATCACGCTAAGAGGTACAAAGTCGAACACACACGGCCGGCAGCTGTTCCTCACAATTCCTAAGATGCTAATTACATTGCCGTCTTTTGGGGTTATTTCTTGTATTTTCTTACTCTAAATTCAGGCCTGCTAAGAGAGTTCAGATTAAAGATAGCTGCACTGAAGTGGGGCCGCACAGGGGAGATGTGTGGCATGAAGCAGTTTCCTTCCTACCTCCACCCTCTACCCGTATCTATGACCAGCACGGGCCCGCTGTACTCTCCGGGTTCTCAAACAGCCCTTTTTCACCATCACAAATACAACAAATTTTAGACTGCAGCCACGAGGCAGCTCTGAATGAATGAGCCCAAAGCAAAACTGTAACAGCAAAGACTTTCCCTGAGTGTTTCATGCCAGAAGCAAAAACTGTGCTCCCCCTGCCTCAGAGACTTTATACTGTTGAGAAAATGGATTGTGGTTTCCTACGGCACCTGTTCTAATTGCGTTCCCTTTGATCAGAGAAGGAGATACGTCCTTTGCAGAGCATGCAAAGATCTGACACTGCTTATGAAAATCGCACTGCTTCTCTCCAGTTGCGGGACGGATACCGAGTGCTGATCAGGAGCAACAGGAAAACAGCAAGGCGAGTATCACATCCCAAGGCAGAAGTTGCTCATCATCTGCTTTTTGAAGGAAAAAAAGGTACATACACATCTGTGTTTGCAAACTTGGGTGCTCAGGTGCCTTGCTCTGAAAGGTTTCAGGCTAGAGTACTTTGCTTGCCTAACAGTTGCAAAATCAGGTCCTGGAAGCAAAACCAACCAAAAACCTCCAACAATTTGCAGAACAACTGAACTTCCCACTACAAACCATCACTTTTACTGTATCAGGGAGAAGGGAAGAGTACTGTACAATTAAAATCTTTCCTTTTAGAACGTGATTGGCTGCTGCTAAGAGCCATGAGGCATATCAGCCTCTATTTGTTGTTTTCCAACACTCCTGTCCTCCCTGTTTTTAGCAGCTTTGCACAGATCAGTCTGGGAGAACACCTCATCGCAGTTTGATGAGAAGTTGGCATACCTGTCTAGAAGCTCAAAGGTATATTCAGCCCTGCTGCCTTCGCTATTATTTTAATTGCCGTATTACACAAATACTATTTCCTCCTTGTCTCACCTGGCAGCCATCAATCTTTTCCCCGGCTTGGTGCAAAGCTGGGTAAATGTGAGCCCGCACACAGAAAAACTACCACAGTACTGACGGTACATTCAGCACGGGTACAGAGCCGTGGTAGTACCAGCACAAGTGATGCACAGCCCTGTTGCAGACCCTACAAAAAACGCTATTAAAAAGAGTTTAAAAAACTTAGCTTCTTTCAATCTAGGATATTCTCTCCTGATTAAAGCAATTATAAGAAATGAAATGTAGGGCTTTACAATGGTACCACAAACAGACGTAGAACACCTAATTTCATACTTCTATTTACCCGTAAGCAAAAAAATGGTCTTGGATCAGAGCAGATCCAAGACTAGAAGTCTGTATCTCCTTCCAAAACCACTCATCCTCATACCAGAAGATCTCTGCATCAACCACATCCTTTAAATACAAGTATTTATCTGCTAAATTCACATCTGAAGGGAAAAAAAGATAATCTTTTACATAATAAAGTTACTTTCGTCCCTTCTCTCGCTATGTTAGTGAGTAACACTGGCAATGGGAACACTTCTGCAGATGACAACACTGTGCCAAGGACCCGAACCCCCCTGAAACACATACAGTGTGGGTGTTGTGGACAGGCTCTAGTCTGGCCCCCGGCTGAATGCCCTTCAGCTACAGGAGTGCATTAGCTGCGCTCCCAGAGTGCATCTGCCAGTTGTGCTTCATCCAGAAGGAAAGCAGTTGCCGCGCTTTGCATCACTGCGTGATTTCCCACGCACAGAAAGCACGGCTGATTAGGAAGCGAGCTTCAAAAACACGCTTATAAACCAAAACAAGGCGCTGACGGAGACACCCTCCCTCCTTTCATAACAGCAGCTGAGACAGAGCTCCAGTCAGAACAGGAACACGAGGAACTGAATTTCAGAACTGAATTTCAGGTGCAGGACCTGTTGAGGGAACACAACAAGAAGCTCAGCACGGTCTTCCATCTTCTTAGGAAGGGCTCAGGTTCTGAAAGAGAAGCTCCCTCTCTGTTAACTGTCCCAGTCACACCTGTAGCAAGATCTTTTAGTACTCAGCATACGAACATGCACATCCTCTCTCCCAGCATCTCCCTGAGTGCAGCCCTGAGCAGACACAGCCACCGCAGCCCCACCACCCGTACAACAGCAGCTGGGGAGGATTGAGCATGTTTGCTCCACTTGGCATCACTCAGGGGACATCTGGGGACGTTGCTCCATCACCCTGCCCTTGTTACAGCCTCATCCCCCATCTGCGCTCAAGCCACACCACTAGACAGCCTCATATCAGTTCCTAAAGCCGTTGCCTCCCTGCCTCCAAGCTGGAATTCCTTCCTTGCGTAATGCCTAAGGAGAACAGAGCAGGTAAATCACTAAACGCTTCCGGGGATTTCCTGGGCTGCATGGACATCGCTACAACATTCAGACAGAAAAGCCTTTGGGAAAGGGAAGTTTTCAGCCTGCGCTTTCCACACTGACCCGAGTTTGTTTAGTTCCTATGAATGAATGAATGGCGTGCTATGGTTATATATTACGCTACGTAATACTCACTCCAGCTTCCCCTACTGCCCACTCCAGCCACACACTCTGGAAAGCAGAAGGGCCCCTGCTGACATGAAAGCCCCATTTCAAGCACATTGGTTGAAAGGGAACAAACAGGAGGGCATCTTGCATATTCACAAAGTGTTTCTCAGCACGTTTTACATACAGCCCCAAACCACTATAATTATCATTTAGAACATTTCTACCTAAAATCATTGTGCCTGACCTAGTCAACCCCCTGGTATTTTAGGCTCAGCCTGGAACGTGACAACCGCCAGTCCCCTCGCCAGTTCTCACTGGTGCAGGGAGACCATCTCTGAACAACTTCTCCAGTGACGCCTTGGGCCAAGGGGCACACACCTACGCTTGCAGCGACTTGGAGAAGTTTAACCTTGAGCGTGACCCCTGCGGACGATCCAGAGGATGCCGGCACGGCGGTGTCCATCCCAGCCTGCCTGTTCCCGCTCCCCCGCATGGCCCTGGAGTTCTTCCCGGGGTCCCAAGCCCCATCCCTCCGTTTAGCAGCAATCACAACCCCCTGTGCTTTTCATAAAGCAACTGAATGCTGCCTTAACAGCTCCTACCCTTTTGCCTCTCCAGTCCCCTTGGGAGGCAGAACCAAGATCTCACCACTCTAAAGGATCTCACCAGCCTCCCGCTACCATTTATTCATTGGTATTTCTTGTTGTGCTGTGCTACCCATTAGCTGAACGAGCTCTCCTTGTTTCACAGGGTTCACACTGCCAGTGTGCTGATGGACAATATCATCCCCATCATCATAATTTCTCTTCCTGCTTGTCAAGACAGCCGAGCTTCTTTCGGCTCCTCTAAAATGGGCTCATCGTTCCTGATCACTGAAAGGGCAGTTCCAGCCCAAGCTCATCTCTCCCGAGCAGGGATGACTGGAAACCCACACACTTGTACCTAGGCCTGGCTCCCTCCTCTCCCGGGGATCTGTCTGGGTAATGGATCGTATTTGCTCTTCTCACAGCTGTGCCCGGCTGGCAGCTCCCAGCCGTCCTCTCAGCAAGCTGGCACGACCTCAGTCGGGCCGGAGCGCTCGTCTTACATCGGAAAGTCTTTTCCCAAGTACACAACCTTGCCTTCCAAGCGATTAAATTTCATCCCGCGCCCGCTGCTCCAGCCCTCCAGCACATCCCGATCCTCCCGTCCCAACCTTTCCCTGCATTGCTGAGGGCGCAAAGCTGAAGCTTTGTAAGATTTTAGCAGCACCCTGCAGCATTTTGCGGCCGCTACGGAGAGCGTTAAAGACCAGCCCGAGACCAGGGCTGCCTCCCCCTCTCCCCGGCCCGTACTACCACCTATCCATACCTCTTCTCCCCGGGACGCCGGGCTCCGCAGCAAACACTCCGGCCGCGGCAGAGCACTGAGACCTTCCCTCCGCCTGGAGAAGCGAGGTCCTCCCCCAGAGAGTTAACCGGGGATTTATTTTCACCCCTCTTTTTTCTTATCAGCGGCGGACGGTGCTGGGCGTCTCCTGCGTTTCCCCCGCGCTCCGTCTCCCCGCGCCTCCAGCTGGCCCCGCTGCCAGGAGGCCGCCGCGGCCTGCCCGGGGTTGGGGGGGACCCCGACCCTGCCGGGCCTCCCTCCCCCGCGCCGCCGCCGC